ATATTCATGAGCTTGCAGAATGAGGTGTACACTCTGGGAATACTAATATAATATTTCATATAGCAGGTCACCATGTGGTGGACTCTGAAGCTTCAGTGTTTATCCAGCTCTGCATGGGTCTGTAAACCTTTCTGTGTTCTAACCTCTCTCCATTTTTCAAAAGCATCTCCAATATTGATCCTAGTTTGAGCACGTTTCTGCTCGTGGAGCTTATTAGAAACATGCAGAGGCTTTTTAGGTCGGGTACAATCACTTCTATCTGAACCACTTCTCTTGACCCGCTTCCATCGCTGCAACACCTGTTGACCTGATAACGGCTCTCATATCTGGCAAACCGAGGGGCGTCCAAAACGGCCTTGTGTAGGGGTCGCCTTAAAAGCGCCTACCTTCTCTGGTCCAAACAAATCCAGAGCATTCAGGAGCAGAATCTAAAGTTAGAAGGAGGACATACTGGCTGCTGCATTGTTGTCAGAGAAGCCAGCACTTCAACATAACATGTTTCCTTAATGATCAGAGAGTAAGATACCTTTATCATCTCACTCTCTACACATCTTACCTTTAAACAGATTTTGGTTGAGGACAGTATTGAACATTTCCTCTGCATTCATTTGATCATAATCTATTACTGTGACTCTGTGTGTGTTTCCATGCAGACCTGGATAACATGCAGAGAAAACATTAAAAGTCATTAAAATAAAACATTTCCTGCTGCTTTCTTCTGCTGCAGCTCCCCGAAGCTCTCTGTGTTTTCCCCTCATTTATTCATCTGATCATTTAACTCTCGGAGGGCGTCGTTGTCTCATAGTTAAGCATCTTGTTGACAGACAACGCTCTGAATAAGTGAGCGAGCGAGTGAGTCGGTTAAACTCAGAAATGATTCACAGAAGAAGAAGAAGAAGAACAGAGCTGGAGGTTATGTTCAATGAAACAGAACGGCATCTCGTCCGCCTCGCCAAGACTCTTGTCTCGACAAAAGCTGACATACTTTTTCCTCCTGGCTCGGATACAGTTGGCCAAGTTTTACATGACAGATCAACATCGGGGGGTCTGCAGCCCCCCCCCCCCCCCCCCCCCCCTCGCCAGGTGTGTACAGACCTGCAGTCAGGGAGAGTTTAACTGGAAGATAAGGAAGAAGCGTGTGCAGACGGAGCTGAAATCACATAAATCAGTCTTACTGAGGGGCGTGTGTGTGTGTGTGTGTGTGTGTGTGTGTGTGTGTGTGTGTGTGTGTGTGTGTGTGTGTGTGTGTGTGTGTGTGTGTGTGTGTGTGTGTGTGTGTGTGTGTGTGTGTGTGTGTGTGTGTGTGTGTGTGTGTGTAGGGTATAAAGGAGGTTTCTCTCTGCTTCCCTGTGTGACAAATTAGTATTTGGAGTCTTTGCCGGCTCCTCTGGCGGCCCGTTGGCTCGCCGTTTGGATGTGTTTCTATGGAGAGCAGATCTGGAATGAGTCCACTGTGAAGCGCTGTGGCGGTGGGAGAACTGGTCTTTTGTCCACGAGGAGAGACCCCCGGATCCCAGCAGCCGTCACCCGTCTGAGGAGGGGAGAGAAAAACCTGCAGGCTGCTGCAACAGAAACTCTCTGTTCAGAGACAATCCTCGTGTGACGGCTAGACTTGTCCCCACGACGAACGGTCGATTTCAGCATACTGACGGTCAGAGTAACAGGAGAGTAGAACCATTTGCAACCTGATTGGACAATTGAACTTCCTCTGATTGTGAGCGGACAAAGCTGATTGGCTGGTTAGCTAAGACATCAAATCACAGACAAAATGTTGCGCTTTTCTTCTAGCTTGTAACTTCAGGGTTAAACATGCTGATTGGAAATGATTGTGTCTGTAACTCAGACATCACAGGCACTTTTTTCAACCAGCCAATCATGAATAAGATCGATCGGGACTTGCTCCGTGTCTGATTGTTACCATGACAGCGGGCCCGTCATTATTAACACCTGACAAAGTAGGAGAGTAAGCATCCCCCGTTTGATGAAAACAGTTTCAATAAAACACAAATAGCAAAAAGTAACAGAGCAGAGTCGGTCACACAGCGGGCCGTTGTCAAGAGGCTGTTGCCATGGAGATAAGATGCACATGCAGCACTTCATCCAAGCGCTCCCCGAACTCACAGCCAGCGCCCTCCTGCACCAAAACAACGGCAGGTCCTAACTTTTATTTCCCCCCCAAGTATCGAAGCTTAAGCCTGCGGGGACCTTTGTTTTCAGACTTCATATCTGACCCCCGACCTTTGAGCCTCAAGACGAGCTGCTCTCTCTCCTGCTCTCTATTTGTAGCTCGTCCATTATGTTGGTAGCTGCCCTGGGCTCTCTCTCTCTCTCTCTCTCTCTCTCTCTCTCTCTCTCTCTCTCTCTCTCTCTCTCTCTCTCTCTCTCTCCTTATGAATGCCATCGCTCACATTACACAACAGAAAGAAAAGCTCTTCCTCTCTGTCTTTATTCTTTCTCCTCTTAATGTTTCTTCCTGCTTTATTTACAGACATCCTCATGTAGCCTGTAGCTGTGTTTCCTCTTGTCGGTGCTTCATGTGTGTGTGGGGGGAGGAGGACTGTGGTGCACGATGGAAGACGATGCAGGGGCAGAAACCGATTTGATTTATTATATTTTGATATATGATGAGCAAAAAAACCATTTAAAAAAAAAAGCAGAAATGGTTTAGGAGAAATAGTGAGTGTTTCTAGGTGTTGTGATCGACCTGTATCTGCAGGTCCACGTCTGACTCACAACGATGAGACTCTCTGCTTCCTGTTCAGTCAGACAGCTAGTCCAGACACACCTCACACACTCACACTCACACACACACACACACACACACAGGCCCAGACATACACACACATTCCCCACAAAAGAAGTCCTTAAATAAATCTTTTTTTAGTTCATTGTGTCTCTCAGACTTTTTCCATGTTGATGCATCAATCAGCGGTTCTCATTCATCTACACTTAATATATCAGTTTGCTCACGGTGTATCCCTTTAAGACTGAAACCTCTTTCCCATGAGGCCTCGCAGCCGTACATACACATATTTCTAAACCGTTACAGATGCAATATTTCAACAACTCGTTCTCCTATGAGACACCACAGACAGACGCTGGATTTTTCTCCATTTAAGGGAAAATCTGTACTGTATATCTGTGTGTTTCTAAAGTAATAAATCCTCAGATTTTGTGTGTATATGTATGAAATTCTAAGAAAACAGCCCGAGCTTCTTCAATAAATGATGTCAAATTCTGCTGTTCTCACAAATCAAAAGAGAGCGAGTTGAAACGTTAAGGGTGCAATGATAGAAAAAGGCTTTATTAAAACGGGGTCTCCTCCCAGTTGGGTGTGTCTGGAAGACTCCTCCAAAGGGGGGCGTCTAGGAGGCGTCCTAACCTCTGATTGCTCTCGATGTGAAGGAGTAGCAGCTCCACTCTGAGCTCCCCCCCACCTGAATGTCTGAGCTCCTCGCCCTCTCTCTAAAGGCTGAGTCCAGACATCATGCAGAGGAAGCTCATTTCGGCCGCTTGTATCTTATTCTGCTGGTCACTACCCGAGAAACAGCCAATCATGTTCATGTTATTTAAGAGTCTTTGAAGTTCCTCTGACAGTCGGTCTGTGATGATGTCATCCTGTCATCCTGTGCCGACACTTTATTTAACTTTTACAGAAACACGACCAGAAAACAACAGACGACAGTTAGAAGCGTCAGTCCTTCAGGGTGTTCCACATCTTTATTTCCTCTTTTCTTCCACGTCTGCGTTGTATCTCGGGTTGCTTTTATATATTTTTAATCGAGCTGCTCTGTAGTTAAAAAAAAAAAAAAGAAAATCATTCTGAAGCTCAGCCGCCTCCGGCCCTCTCAGTGAGACGTTTCTGTTCAGCCTGATGAAGAGAAAATGATGAATCTATTAATCACTAAAAATAATACATAGACGAGCAGCCTGAATACACACACACACACACACACACACACACACACACACACACACACACACACACACACACACACACACACACACACACACACACACACACACACACACACACATTTTAGATAAAAGATACAGAGGTTAGAATTAAAACTGAATGTTGTACACATCCTCTCCATTCTCTATCTCTTCCTCTTTACTCTTAACCTCCTTCTCTCTCGTCTCCTCCTCTCTATTTTCTATTTCCTCATCTCCTCTTTTTCAGCCTCTCTCTCCTCCTTTCCTTTCCCCTCTTTCCTCTTCGCTCTTTACCTCCTTTCTCTCTCATCTTCATAGTCACTTGTCCCCTTTCTCTGCTCCTCTTTCCTCATGTCTATTTTCTCTCCTCCCCTCCTTTCCTCCTCCTCTCTCGTCTCCTTCACATTTTCCCATCTCCTCTCTCGTCCTTCTCTCGCTTCTCTTTCCCCCGCTCTATTTTCTGCTCCTTTATCCTCTTTCTCCTCCTCTCCTCCTTTTCAGTCCCTCTCCCCTCCTTTCTTTTCCTCCTCCTCTTCACTCTTGATCTCTTTCTCTCGTCTCCTTTCTCTTCTCCTCCTCTCCTCCTTTTCAGTCCCTCCCCCCTCCTCCCCTTCACTCTTTACCTATTTCTCTCTCGTCTCCTCTCTCCTCCTCTGAGGCTTTGATCAGAGTTGTGTGTCACATCAGACGGTAACTTTTAAGACACTTAACTTGTACTGTACATCATTAAATCTGAACTAAACAGAATCCAGCACAGACTCGTGAGGCTGTGTGTGTGTGTGTGTGTGTGTGTGTGTGTGTGTGTGTGTGTGTGTGTGTGTGTGTGTGTGAAACACGATTGAAATAACCCGACCTTGTTCCTGTAGTCTTGTGAGGACTTTTAATTAAACATGAACTGATGTGGTACTTTATGTGTTTGTGGTGAATATCTGACTCTCTAAAACCGCAGCATGTTTACTGTTCAGTGTTTTATGACTCTGTGTGTGTGTCTGTGTGTCTGTGTGTCTGTGTGTGTGTGTGTGTGTGTGTGTGTGTGTGTGTCTGTGTCTGTGTGTGTGTGACAGGTTTTCAGCTCTGCATCACGCCGCTCTCACAGGAACCACAGAGCTGCTGTCTGCTCTGCTCGAGGCTCAGGCCACTGTCGACGTCAAGGACAGCAACGGTCAGTCACACACACACACACACACACACACACACACACACACACACACACACACACACACACACACACACACCTACTGTCTTCAACTTACTTATTCAGCACTATGTATCAATAGTTTCTGATTTCTGATATATTTCTGAGAGACAGGAAGGAGGAGAAAGCGAGGGATGACATGCATTAGATTCAAATCTTTAACCTCTGCGATGAGGACTACACTCTCTGTACATGGAGGGCGCCACATAACCGCTAGGCCATCAGATCCCCCTAAATGTACATATTTTCTCAGACATCTGAAGTGTTCTTTGTGTTTTTAACTGCTCCTCTTCTTCTGCTTATATCCGTGTTCTGTCCGTCATGCAACTCGATGATCAAATGACAAAAAATAACTAAACACATTTTAAAGACCAGCTGAGAAGCCGCTGCTCCAATGACCTCAGAAAATAGGATAGTCCACTTTAACCTGTTTAAAGAAACAGGTGTGTGAGCAGCCACAATCTACACATCTGTCAGACCGCTGACAAAAAACAGAAACAACGATTTTTACTGTTTTTCATTTGAAATTTGAGGATTTAAAAGTCCTGCTGCATCTTCTTCAGCATTGCAGAATCAGTGTGTGAATGTACCCGTGTGTGTGTGTGTGTGTGTGTTTGATCCGTGCAGGAATGCGCCCGCTGCATTACGCCGCCTGGCAGGGGAAAGCCGAGTCGGTCCTGATGCTGCTGCGCTCCGGAGCTTCAGTGAACGGCGTCTCTTTGGACGGACACATTCCTCTTCACCTGGCAGCGCAGTACGGACACTTCCAAGTGGTCAGTACACTGAAGTATCGTATTTATACTTTTGTCATAAACGTTTAGCTCAGATTGTCGAGGGGTTTTATGATGAAAACAGAATTTTAGACTTGATAGGAAACTACTGAAAATCAAACATCTTCCATACCTGAAGATTTTTTCTGCCACTTGTGCTTAACTCTTTCAGAGTCAGATTCAGATTCTTTATTGTCCAACGAGGGGAAATGTGTTTTTGCAGCAGGAGCACACAGAAGACAAGAAACACAAAAACAACATCACCGCAAAAAAAAAAAAAAAAAAACAAAGTTACAAAATCAGAAAAAAACAACAAAAATTCATGTGTAAACGTGAGTGGAGAGGGGGGTTGGACGTGTGTCGCTGGAGGAGAGCGGAGGCTTCAGTATGGAGGAGGCGTGGCCTAAACAGCAGTTTGTTTTGGTTTCATGCTGGTGCTCAAGGGCGACACCTACTGGATCAAAAAGACGCACACTCTTCCTTTAGAAACACATTTTTCAATCACAAAAATATTGCAGGCAAACTCCTGCGTATTATCAAGATTGCACTTGTTAGTTGTCAACATTTATTTGTTCAGTTTAGACAAGATGAAGCAGGTTGTCAGCAGTTTCGAAAAGTTTTTGAAGGTCTAACGGCGTGATGACGGCGGCGCTGTAGTGTTGAACTCTGCTTTCTAACAAACAAAGGATCGGAGCCTTTTCTCTGTGTGGTCACTTTACTACAGATGTGATTGGATTAGAGGGGATTCAGACGGTAATCATGAGGTGGATTTTCTTTGAGGGCGGGGGATGGGGGGGGGGGGGTGTTGTTTTTGTGGGGTGTGTAATTAGTAGTGACCCTGTTTTTGTGTGTTGTTGTGCGTCTCAGCCGAGCAGATGTGATGAAATGAACACTGCAGAGGTTTTTTATTTTTTATTAATTTTACATTAATCCTGAGGGGCAGATTTTTAGGGTGGCTCATGCTGTAATCACACACACACACACACACACACACACACACACACACACACACACACACGCACACACTCTGCTCTGAAGTGTGTCAGGATTAGGATGAATATAGGTGAGCCAAATTGTCTGTGTTTTTCTCTCTGACCCCCCACTGAGAAACACTCTCAGACGGTTTAGTCCGACTTTGACTGTCGGTGTTTACAGAGTCTTCTTGTTTACATCTGAGCGAGTTATTTTTTTTTTTATGCTCATTTTACTAATGAAAAGCAAATAAAATACTCCACATGCAGATGTTCCTGAGATTAAAACTCAGGAACATCTGACTCCTCAAACAAACCTGAACTGTGTCATTAGTTTTTATTTTTACAGAAATGAATCAACACTGTCTGAGCTTTAATGAGATGTGAGTGCTGATATGATCATGTTTTTTTTAAGAGCGTTAGATTGATGTTTATATTTCTCTTTAGTCCGGATTAATAGAAACCACCTCCTTCATTCTCTCTAATCTGTCCTGTCGGGTCCCTGCAGAGTGTGTGATAATAACACAGATCCGTCTTTGTGTGTCTCAGATGACATCATCATCTGGTTGGCCGAGAGGATTGTGAAATATTACACAGCTTTCATAGTCCACATAACAACCCTAAATCCTCGGAGGGGCCGAGACTCTGACGACACCTCTGCAGTGCAGGTGTTTGAATCTGTGAGGAGTCTGCAAACACTCACTCAGAGTCAGGCTCCTTCCTGCTTCCCCCCCCTCACTGAAGTCTGCAAAGAAGGATCGTCACAATACCAGATTTTAAAACTTTACTAGTATAAATCAAAACGATATCGAGACCTGTTTCAATACCACTGATACAGAAGTTAACAAATATCGGGTCATTTCTTGTTTCTATTCTCCACAAAATGCAAAAGGCAAACTCCTGCAAGCTGTGGATATGTATAAAAATGTTTGAAAATTAGACATTGTGCAGGAGTTTACTTGCAATATTTCATGGATTCATTCCTCTTCAACCCACTTTTCTTATTGTGTAGATGTTATAGATAATAGATGTTTTTCGATAGTGAAGATTTGAACTTTTCGAAGATTTTAACAACCTAACTAAAGAGTTGAATAAAAGGGTCAAACACAGAATCTCCCCCTGCTGCAAACTGCGACTTTCAGTGTAAACTCTTCTTGTTCTTTGTGTTTATATGTGTTCATATAAGCTGCTCTAGCTGTCATTTTAATTGCTCTAATGTGCTGCTTATGTAGGAGTTCAATTTGGCAATTTAGCTCAGTCTGTAGGGACTTGGGTTGGGAACCGGAGGGTCGCCGGGTCAAGTCCCAGTGCGGACCAAAATTATGGAAGTTGGTCTGGTAGCTAGAGAGGTGCTAGGGCACTTCCTGAGTACTCCCCTTGAGCAAGGCACTGAACCCCCTACTGCTCTGGTGTGAGAAGCATGTCTCTAAAATAAGTGTAAACCAAAAGAATCAAACATACTCAGCAGCTCCGCTCAAACATCAGAGTGTATTTCTGTGAACTTGTCTGTATCACTGTGTTAAAGTTCTGCTCTCATCATTCTTTGTACTCCACATGAAGCATAAAGTAACATTGTGTGTCTGTGTCTGTGTTTGTGTGTCAGTCTGAGATGTTGCTGCAGCATCAGTCCAACCCCTGTCTGGTCAACAAGGCCAAGAAGACTCCTCTGGACCTGGCCTGTGAGTTTGGAAGAGTCCAGGTGAGCGTTCAAGAATGTGTCATGTGATCGGGGTCAGGGTTAGTTTCAGTGTGAGTCAAAGTAAAGTCTCACTTCTGGAAAACTTTTGTAAGAGTGATGGTTTGACAACACACAGTCACAGCTGGACAAACACACTCTCACACACACACACATAGAGGGGTTTGATTACGTTGCCACGGTTACTTTTCTACCTCTGTCTGTAAACATGGCGGTTATCTTTGTCTTATTGTCTCCATGTTGGAGAGATCAACATGGAGACAATAAGACAAAACCATCAGCGTGTCAGAACAGGGTTTGCTTTTATTTTTATTATTGGCTTAGACATATTTCATCATTCTGACACACAAACGAGCTGCCTGTGCAAGAAATCTGTCAGATATTTATTTTACTCTGTGGACATTTTAAGAGCTCTGTCAAAGTATTTATCCTGTCGAGAATTTTCCCGCTCAAATAACCTGGACTAGAGTCTTTAACACACTTTATTTCTATAGCATGTTTCAAAACGACCAAAGTGCAAAGAAGCATAAAGAATACATAATACAGCATAATAATAATTATAATAATAATTACAATATAGTCTAAATCTAAAATAGAAAAACTCAAGCAGAGTGACAGGAAGTTGAACGTGGAGGAGTTGAGAGAATGAAGTTGGTCGGAGACGTCTTTGTTTTGACTCATGAGTTTGTTAAATGAGACATGAAAGTGAAGCCTGATCCTCCACAGCTGATTTAAACTTCACCCAGATATCTTTAGAGTGTGTGTGTGTGTGTGTGTGTGTGTGTGTGTGTGTGTGTGTGTGTGTGTGTGTGTGTGTGTGTGTGTGTGTGTGTGTGTGTGTGTGTGTGTGTGTGTGTGTGTGTGTGTGTGTGTGTGTGTGTTCCTCAGCTGCCGCTCAGTGATGTCAGGGTGTGTCGACAGCAGCTGCTCTGTTTCCATTCCGCTCTCCTCTGTTTCACCTCCTCCTTAAAACTCTTCAAAACTTCATCTTAAATATAAATAAAGATCATAAAAGTGTCTGGCTTGATTTCAGGAAATTGTGTGTCAAATGTCACAGCCATTGACTGTGTATAAATATGGACGTCTTGTCTCCGTCTCCCCCTGTTGTACAAAACTAAAGCCAAAATCCGCCAATTGACATATTGCTGTAAAGATGTCGTTTAAGTTGCTCAGTAGAGACGTTGATGTTTTTAAGTCCCGCCCCTTCCTCCAACCAAAAAACACAAATTTATTACACAATGAAGCGTCAAACATCTGGAATCGCTCGTGGTATTTTGGTCTCTGAGGTGTTAACTCATCGTCACCTGCGGGGGGGCTCTGACGCCGTTTGTCCGTCCCAGTTGTGTCCACAGATTTTGGCCGGTACATGTTGTCATCTTGTTCCTTTCTCTCCTCTTCCTCGTCGCTCTTCAGGTGGCCCAGCTGCTGCTGAGCAGTAACATGGTGGTGGCGTTGTTGGAGGGAGAGAGGAAAGAGCAGACAGACTCCGCCTTCACCACCCCACTTCACCTCGCCGCACGCAACGGACACAAAGACATCATACGGTGAGAAAGAAGCACAAATATCTAATATCTCAAAGAGCAGATTGACTCTCTTTGTGAGCTCCAACTGTCTCAAGAAGTTCACTAAAGTCGAGACGTGCACGCCGTGTCAGTTCATCCCGGACAGATTCAGATTCAGGTCACAGCTCCTGAATGTTTCAGACATTTCAAAAGAGACTTCTTTGGTCATTTTTTATTTTTTTTGCTTTTTATTTGATGTGACAGCTGAAGACAGTCTGGAGAAAACTGGGAGGAGAAAGTTCAGATGCATGTTCTACTAACTCAGCTAAACTTCCCAGTTTTAAACATTTTACAAGGGTCAAAAAATATGTTTTTAAATCCAAGTAAAGCTAATTATTTTAATTGCAAATGCGGCTTGCACAGACTGGAGCAGCTTAAATAAGGCGGCATGTGTATGAATAGCCAATAGGATGCTTTGAAGCGAATCAGCTGGCCATCAGGTGACGAGGGTTTGCATGAGATCAGCTGTTTTCAAAAACACTGGCATGGTAGCAGAGCGTGACTCCGAGGCCTGCCTCACCTGACGCTATGCTAAATACATCAAAGCAGAAGTAGAAGTCTCAATTGACTCAATTATGTATATTTAAAAAATCAATCGTCCACCAAGAGTTAAAGGATTTCTGTTTATTTAGGACGTTTAAAAAAAAATCCTCATAAAAAAACATGAAAAACTCCACATCAGTCCAGCTCTAAAATCTGATTTTGAAATGCTGCTCATGGTTTTATGAAGGTGTGAAGGTTTCAGTCTTCAGATATTTAAACTCAGAGGTGAGTGGATGCCGTGTGCAGTGATTGGGCGGGGCTTCTGTGGTGCGTGTTTGGTTGACCACAGAGCCGGCACGTTTGAATAATCGGGATGTGGGAGCGTGGACTCTGGTTGTGTGAGGCTGTCTCTTCTTCATGCCTCACATATCCTGCAGAGCTCAGAAATACACCACGACGGCCCTCTGACCCAGTTTTACAGTCCGTATCCTTGTTATATCTCAGAGTGTGAGTGTGTGTATGTGTATGTGTGTGTGAATGCAGGGCGAGCTTCCAGTACATATTTTCCTTCTTCCCATGAGCCTGCTGATAGCTCGTCTGAATTTGACGTAAAAGAGGGAAGAAATGCGAATGAAGCCGAGCAGCTTTACTGCACCGCTCTGTAACATTTTAATACTTTATAACAATCAGAGCTCAGAGGGAGATCAGTGTGCTGAACGCTGAAATGTATCTGTGCCACAGAGATCTTATTCACTCCTAAAGAGTTAGAAGGCGTGTCTGTCCGTTTTTCACTTGTTAAAAACCCCCAAAATAAACTAGGCTGCTGTAGTTAGCTGACCACGCCCCCTCTCTGGAAGGGCTCAGGTGTCTCTGGCTTTCTCGCTCCATGTCCTATTGTTTGTTCTGATCCTGTATTTGATCATGTCTATAAACCCCTCTATTTCAGCCCTGCTCAGAACAGGCTGTTTCTGTGTCTGTACCTTTAAATATGTAAATGAGCTGTGTCTGACCACGCCCCCTCTCTGGAAGGGCTTTGGTGACTTGGTGCTTTCTGGCTCCATGCCCTATTGTGTACGGTGAGAAGGCAGACTCAGAGGGCAGAACAAACACCTAGCTGTGGGAGTGTCACCCACCTGGGGGATGGGGCTACTGCCCTTTGTGATGTCATGAAGGGAAAATCTCCAAACGGCCTGTTTGAGCACACATTTTCTGAAAAGTGGAGCAGGCAGAAGACGGAGAGAGAATTTCTTTCTATCTCCCACCTTTAGATGACACAAGTCGTAGGACTCACAGGTGGATCTCATGTCTCTGTTTTTTTTTATTCCAGGCTGCTGCTGAAGGCCGGCATCGACATCAACAAGACCACCAAGTCTGGAACAGCTCTGCATGAAGCTTCTCTGTACGGGAAGACCGAGGTGGTCCGGCTGCTGCTGGATGTACGTTTACATTCAAATATATTCTGACATCTTGTTTTTTATGTCTTTTAATGCAACATGCTCTCTTCTTCTCTCTCGTTTAGAAACATGTGGAGTGTAAAGATTCTTCTTTATGTTTCTGTATTAAAGGCTTTACTCCGATTCAATTTGTGGAGTTTGTAAATGTGTTTGCAGGGATCTAATGTGAGTAATTATCAAGATTAAATAACATGGCTTTAAAAAGAAGGATTAAGTATGTGTGCACTGTTGGACTGTTGTCGAGGGCAGCACTAGAGGAAATGTTTTGTAGGATGTTTTAAAAATGAATTAATAGCTGTGTTACATTTCTTTGCGATTGCACTTGCTGATTCACTTTCTTACAATCAGAGTGTTTGGGAGAGCTGCTCTATTTAACCCACAGCGACTGCACTCCGTTCATCCCCCGTTCCCCCCCCCCCCTGCAGCTACACTTCCCCTCTCAGTTCAACGCTGACGTAAGATCAGATCAAGCCTCGACCAAAAAACCCCCCGGAGGGAAAACTGCATATTTAAGACGACATGAAAGGGGAGAGAATAGTCAAAGAACAAATCTCTTTATCGTTATCGTCTTCTGTGTCGTCATCTGCAGGCTGGAGTGGACGTCAACATCCGGAACACATACAATCAGACGGCGCTGGACATCGTCAACCAGTTCACCACGTCGCACGCCAGCAGGGACATCAAACAGCTGCTTAGAGGTCAGTGGTGGAGTGACAATAAGCACATTAACTCAGGTACTACACTCACTGCACTCGATCCTCTCAGTCATGACTTTAGCAAAAACTTTTCTTCTCCTCCTCCTCTCTTCTCACTTCACTCAGCCCCCCCCCCCCCCTTCTGGATCTGGGTCTCTCACCGTGCAGAGGACATATTGAGCTCCACCTGACATAATTCAAACAGCAGCTGTGTTGAAATTTTTTTTGGGGGGGTTATGTAACGCTAAACTCTTTATCAGCCAGCTCTCACAGCTTCAAAGAGCAGCCTGCTCACATTCAGCCTCAAATTTTAACAGAGCTGTATATATTCTGTGTGAGGCGCTCCGCTCTGTAATCCTGCAGCCGTTTGAAGTTCCTGTGGGAACACACTGAGGGAATAATGAGCGGTTGTGTTGAAGAAGTGATTTAAAACATGGATGGAGACTTTCCCGTCGTGTTTACTGGTGCACAGATGAGTGACTTGTACAAACATTAATAATTGATGTGTCGTGTTTGGGGCCGCGTACAGTGAGAAGTCTTTTTTGGATGAACGGCGACTTACTGTAAAACTGACAGCATGGTCTCTCCGGGCCGACTGCTGTATTTACATTTATATTAATTCTATTTCTGAAGATGACAACCTCTACTAACTTTCTACTGTCTTTGTCCTTTTATTGTCCTTCCCTTTATCGAGTTATTTACACAATGTTGGCATATTCTTTTTATCGGTTAATATTTTGGGACTTTGCCCCCCTAGAGGGACCACTAAAGATCTCAGGAAAGGCACGAGGCCCTCTCTGCTCTGAGGTTGTCTTAATTAGATGCATACATTTTAATTAAAAGATTAGATGTGAAAACTATTGGCGACATTTTTAGATCATACATGTCTAAAATGTTGAGTTTGGTTGTTTTACTTGATAAACAAAAAAACATTCAATTTAATAAAAACGTTTTTCTTAAAAGGTTTGGATTCATACTTTTCTCTAACTCTCTCTGGATGTTTTTCCCCGACAGACGCTACAGGGATTCTGCAGGTCCGAGCTCTGAAGGATTACTGGAACCTGCACGATCCCACCGCTCTCAACATCCGAGCCGGAGACGTCATCATGGTGAGACGCTCAGAAACAAGACGTTTTCTCAGAGCCCAATGAGTATTAAAAAACCTCTTTTTTTGTTAAAAACTGAAAAAAAGCCTCTGAACAACTACAAGTTTTAAAGGTCACATATTGGGAATTTTTTTTAAATGATTCTACATTCTGCCATGGTGTAATATTGGCTTCCCAGTCTGTGCATTCACATTGCCTTACGGTGTTGCAATAGTGTGAGAGAGAACTGCACAGCACAGCACACACACATACACACACGCAGTCAGACATGCGCACACACACACACCCCCACATGCAGCTCTGAGTTCCCGTCAGTGAATCAGACCTGTGAGTAAAACTGGAGGAAAAGATGCAGGTGCTGCTCTGTAGCTTCATGTTGGGACTTGTATTAAAGCATTAAACATCAAGTGTGTTCTGAAAGTCATGAGGCTTAAACGGTGGAAAAATCCAAACGCTTTTACAAAATCATGCTTTTGTCTTTTTCCTGCTCAGGGTTCAAACATGTAGGAAAAAAAGAATAAGAGAGCTGATTTCTACTTATTTGTGTCAGACAAACTGGACGCATTGATGTCCCTCAGTGGGACGGAGTGCGTGCTGACACCAGCTCAATCCTTCTGCCATTCGCTGCCTCAAAGTGCAGTGACTCCGCCCCCTGTGACATCACATGCACACCCTCTATAGTGACTCTCTCCTCTTTCTTCTTCTGCAGGTTCTGGAGCAGCACTTGGACGGACGCTGGAAGGGCCACATCCACGACACCCAGAGAGGAACTGACCGAGTCGGCTTCTTCCCTCCGTCCATCGTGGAGGTCATCAGCAGACGAAACGGTCAGTCCCCCCCCCCCCCCCCCACAAAGAGGATGTTTTAAATCAGACGCCATGAAAAACATCCGGTCATTAAAGAGAGAGTCATTACACATGATTGAACGTGAATAAATCAAGAGTGTGCTGGTCACTGTTTCAGCAGCATCTTCATCACCTCATGTAGGATGTGGTTTAGATTTAAAGCTCCGCCCCCCCGCCTTCTGTTCATACCGGATAATGGAAACTAATGCACCTGCTTTGAGAACCATCCCATGCTTCCACCTCCTCTCTCCTCCCTCCTGCATCCATCTCTCCATCCACACCACATAATGACTGACCTCCACCTCTAACCATCAGCTTGATAACCTCCCTCCCCCTCCTCTTCCTCCTCCTCCTCCTCCCGCTCCTGTTGTCCTACCCATCTCGCCCTGTAGGGGGCACCCTGTCCCGGCACGCCTCTCTGCCCACCCAGCGCCAGCAGCTGAACTCCAGAGCCCCCCTCTCCTCCAGCCTCAGCTCCGCCCCCCAGACTGATGACTCCTACACTCTGTATGCTCCCCCCACCCATGTGGTGCTCCCGCTAGCCAACGGCCTCACTACCAACACAGGTACACACACTCTTCACCATCTTCCTGGTCGCTGCACCTCCACAGCTTTGTTTTCTAACACTAACCCCAACAGGAAGGATCATCTCTAATGTGCATGAAGATTTTGTCCAGCATTTTGAGTCCTAACTCTAAGATCACTTCCAACGTGTTTTTCCTTCAGACAGATAGTCTTTGTAATCTAATCTGTGTCCTCCAACACACCTCAGTTAGCCCCTCCCTCCCCGACAGATCGCAGTCCCTCAGAGTCTTTGTGTCTGATAGGTTTGTGTCCAAGCCGCCTGTCTCAGTCTGATTTTCCCTTCGAGGACATCTGGGTTCTCAGGGACTCATGTCATGGTAAGAGCCCCCCCCCACCCCCCCCCCCCCCCCCCACCTGAACATCGGCTTCTCCCCCCCTGGCTGTTCTGAAGCTGCCCCGCTGCCCCGCTCAAGGCTCTGCATCAGGACCCAACACACCAAGTCACACAATACACATGCCTAAAAGACACAGCCTCATGTCGCTAAAAATAGCCTTAATCACTTCACATGATCTAATGTCCTATCGCACAGCTTCATGTCCCTGCACACTACCTACTGGACACTTGTTACCTCATGCCGCCTCAGATCTCTTCATGATGACTCACGCCACTCATGACCTCATCGTGACGCATCACGCCATCTCAGGCTACCTCGAGTCCCCTCATGTCGCGTCACTGTAACATGAGGTAACATCATGCCGCCTCGTGTTACCTCGTGTTACCTCATGTTACCTCATGACGCCTCGTGTTGCCTCATGCCGCCTCATGTTACCTCATGACGCCTCGTGTTACCTCATGCCGCCTCGTGTTACCTCATGTTACCTCATGCCGCTTCGTGTTACCTCATGCCGCCTCGTGTTACCTCATGTTACCTCATGTCACCTCATGTTACCTCATGTTACCTCATGTTACCTCATGTTACCTCATGTTACCTCATGCCGCCTCATGTCACCTCATGTTACCTCATGTTACCTCATGCCGCCTCGTGTTACTTCATGCCTCCTCGTGTTACCTCATGATGCCTCGTGTTACCTCATGTTACCTCATGACGCCTCGTGTTACCTCATGCCGCCTCGTGTTACCTCATGTTACCTCATGCTGCCTCGTGTTACCTCATGCCGCCTCGTGTTACCTCATGTTACCTCATGCTGCCTCGTGTTACCTCATGCTGCCTCGTGTTACCTCATGACGCCTCGTGTTACCTCATGTTACCCCATGACGCCTTGTGTTACCTCATGCTGCCTCGTGTTACCTCATGCTGCCTCGTGTTACCTCATGCCTCCTCGTGTTACCTCATGTTACCTCATGACGCCTCATGTTACCTCATGCCGCTTCGTGTTACCTCATGTTACCTCATGCCGCTTCGTGTTACCTCATGTTACCTCATGACGCCTCGTGTTGCCTCATGACGCCTCATGTTACCTCATGCCGCCTCGTGTTACCTCATGTTACCTCATGACGCCTCGTGTTACCTCATGTTACCTCATGCCTCTTCATGCCGCCTCGTGTTACCTCGTGTTACCTCATGTTACCTCATGACGCCTCGTGTTACCTCATGTTACCTCATGACGCCTCGTGTTGCCTCATGCCGCCTCATGTTACCTCATGCCGCCTCGTGTTACCTCATGTTACCTCATGCCGCTTCGTGTTACCTCATGCCGCCTCATGCCGCCTCATGTTACTTCATGCCTCCTCGTGTTACCTCATGATGCCTCGTGTTACCTCATGTTACCTCATGACGCCTCGTGTTACCTCATGCCTCCTCGTGTTACCTCATGCCGCCTCGTGTTACCTCATGTTACCTCATGCTGCCTCGTGTTACCTCATGCTGCCTCGTGTTACCTCATGACGCCTCGTGTTACCTCATGTTACCCCATGACGCCTTGTGTTACCTCATGCTGCCTCATGTTACCTCATGCCTCCTCGTGTTACCTCATGCCGCCTCGTGTTACCTCATGCCTCCTCGTGTTACCTCATGACGCCTCGTGTTACCTCATGCTGCCTCGTGTTACCTCATGCCGCCTCATGTTACCTCATGCTGCCTCGTGTTACCTCATGCCTCCTCGTGTTACCTCATGCTGCCTCGTGTTACCTCATGCCTCCTCGTGTTACCTCATGCCTCCTCGTGTTACCTCATGACGCCTCGTGTTACCTCATGCTGCCTCGTGTTACCTCATGCTGCCTCGTGTTACCTCATGCTGCCTCGTGTTACCTCATGCCGCTTCGTGTTACCTCATGCCGCCTCGTGTTACCTCATGCCGTCTTACTTAATTTCACTGCACATTAGCTTGTCTGACTCGTTACCACATTCTGCCTAATTTTTCCCTCATGTCACCTCGACTTAGCAAAGTTCCCTAAAATCGACTCATATTGTCTGACGTCACCTCATGCAGCCTGACATCTCTTTATTTTGCATCACCGCACGTTGTCTCCCGTCCCCTCACATTATCTCCTGTCACCCTGCTCCATCATCGGACGTCCTCTCAGATAACATCGCACTTCATCAAATCTCTTTATGTAGCCTCATGTCATCTCAGCTCGGTCGATGCCTACCTCACCCCAACTTCACATATCTCCACATTGTCTGACTTCATCTCCTGTCGTCGTACATCCCTTCTATCGGCTTACATCACTGAAGTGGCATGAAGCAGCGGCCTGAATGTTGCCTCACACCTTGTTGCCTTGCATCACAACAACAAGATAAAAACACAACAAGTGAGATTGACGGTGTGTTGGGTCCAAACACTTTGTATGATTTTACTGCTTCAGAGCGTTTGGCTGTCAGTATCCCTAGTGGTCCTCACTGGTACCACAGGGGGTCGACACTCATTTATGTCTTTATTCAACTGGAAAATGCTGCGAGGTGGAAGATTAGTGGGCAGCTCAGTGAGTCCTACCGAGCTGACTCAGGATCCTCTGAAGAAGCTGGATGAAGGCCTCATTAGAAACAGTCAGACAATCTTTGATATCCATGATTTATTCGATGTCTATCCATTATGTCAAAACCAGATTTATTCCTCTTTCCTTCAAAACACAAGTTACCTCAAAAGGTTTAGCTGTAAATCTTATCTCTGTTTTGCCTATGATATTCATGTGCCTTTTTCTTTTACTGTTTTGTCTGTGTTTTAAATTCCTTCTGGATTTCATGTCGCAGCGAGAATCCAAACTTGAAAGCTTTTGCACCTTCTACCCTAGAAAGGAGTATTAGTCGTACACTGTCCTAAATGCCTGATGCTTCCAGCTTCATGATTTCATTAATGGATGCTCTTCTGCTCTGCCACAGCACAGCTTTTAGACCAGAAAAACCTGCATCCTGCCCGCCATCGTCACCAGCCAGCACCTCAGGCCTTTGCATCTGCAGGCTTTCTGCCCGCTGTTTTGACGAAGAGCATCTGCTGCTTCTTAAAGCGTGATGCCGATTACTCTCGCCTCTCCCACATCCTGATTTTAAAATGGTTTTTTTTTATCGTTTGTTTGCAGCAGGAGATCGGAACAGCGTTGGGAGTACGGGGAGCGTTGGCAGCACAAGGAGTGCCGGGAGCGGGCAGAGCACCGAAAGCAACAACACACCCAACGGGATCCAACACATCGCTGTTCACCATGACAACACCAACAAGGTACTTATTTGGGGTTATAAACAAAGTCTTTGGCTGCAACAGAAGTGATTGTACCCGACCTAAAAAGCCTCTGCATGTTTCTAATAAGCTCCACGAGCAGAAACGTGCTCAAACTAGGATCAATATTGGAGATGCTTTTGAAAAATGGAGAGAGGTTAGAACACAGAAAGGTTTACAGACCCATGCAGAGCTGGATAAACACTGAAGCTTCAGAGTCCACCACATGGTGACCTGTGTGAGCATCGACTCTAGAGAGAGGGGGGGAGACAGCTCTGTGCAATGTGGAGAATTTAGACTGCAGTACCCATTTTAAACACTAGGTGCCAGAGTTACATACTGCTCCTTTAAATATTCCAATTTGGGTTCGGGTCAAATTGTATTCAGAAATAGTCAAAATTAGGTAAAAGTTTAACTTGACTGAGCTCATTTCTTGTCAGTTTTCTGCTCCTCTGTTTAAAGCTGCTCACTGACTCTGAGTTTCTTTTTCACATTTCTGTGCAGCCGGCTCCCTCTGCTGTTGATTGTGGGCACTCAGACGTCAGCAGTCAGCCTGATCCTCCTGCAGGTAATAATATTCTTAGTGGCATGGGCTGTTTTGGAAACCTCCTTCTACATACTACTATCCAACATAGCATGCATTATATACTGCATAATGCATACTACATTCAACAGTAGTATGTACGGTGGCTGGGAAGTGCAATGCAAAATTACAAAATGTGAGACACAAAATGACCCCTCACTCAATCACTTCCGGGTCACTTCCTGCATTTGGTACATTCCCTTTCTGTCAAACTGTCGTTTGTAAATTTGTTTGGGGACTTGTAAAAGTGTTCTGCCACTTGTAAATTTGTCTCAGACCTTGTTAAAGTGTTTCACATCTTGTAAATTTGTTTTGGTTTTGCAATTTTATTTAACAAAATGTAAAAGCGTTTTTTTCAAAATGTAAATTTGTCTCAAATTTTGTAAAAGTGTTCCACACTGTAATTGTGCTTTGCACTTCCCAGCCACCGTAAGTATGACTGCCAGTCACAGTATATAAAACATGTATATGTAACCTCACCTCGTTGCCTTGAGGGTTGAAGTGAAGGGAAACAGCTTACCTTTGAGGAGAATCTTTCAGGATGTCTGAAGAAGTTTTGACTTTTCGCCTGCTGAGCTGTGGTGTGATTGTCCCTGCAGGTGGGACTCCTCGGAGGCAGACGGTGACGGTGCAGAGACCTGCAGATCAGAGTTTCTCTCAGCAGTTTGTCCGTCCTCAGCAGCTGCTGGAGGGAAAGGTGAAGATCGCGCCCTTCCCATTGTCTTTGTGTTTTTTTTTTTATATACTTTTATTTTTTACTGTTTGGTAGGCACCTATGAAATAAAGAGCTTCAGTGATGTTTGTATTGGATTGGTGTATTTTAGGATGCAGAGGCCATCTTTCAGTGGCTGAGGGAGTTCCAGCTGGAGCAGTATACTGGGAACTTCATCAGTGCTGGTTATGACGTTCCAACCATCAGCAGGATGACCCCCGAGGTAAATAAACATCATATTCTGATAACGACACTTTGGGTGTTTTGAGGTGTTGTTGGACTTTCTTGACTCACTGATCACTCTGTACTCTTGTTGGGTTTCCAGGATTTGACGGCCATCGGAGTGACGAAGCCAGGCCACCGCAAGAAAGTCTCCCTGGAGATCAACAACCTGAACATGCCAGAGTGGCTGCCTGAGTACATCCCGGTAAGACTTCCAGCTGTTTACTGCTGAATACAAACTTTGTGATGCTATTCATCTAAGCCAGGGGTGTCCAAAGTGCGGCCCGAGGGCCATTTACGGCCCTTGAGGGGATTTTTTGCAGCTCGTGACTTCAAATGAAGAATCAGAAGATTTTATTGATTAAGATCGGCACATTATCTTATTTTTCTTTTTCATGTTAACAAGGGCATTTTTTGTGTTTGAAAAAAAATGTATGCAAAGTTTTTGCAAACAAGCGGACTGTTTAACCATTTAATGACCTGAGCTAAATGAACCACGTTACAAGCTCTGAGAAAAAAACAAATAAAGTAGAACGAAGAAATCAAAATATTTGATTTCCTTTTATTAAAGGGTTTCTTTAGCGAGCCTTTTGATTCTGATCAGTTTCAACTATATTTTAAAAAACTAAACCTGTGGCCCGCGAGCGTTTCTAACACGACAATTTTGGCCCGCAAGAAAAAAAGTTTGGACACCCCTGGTCTAAGTGATCTGATCTTTCTCACAGTCCGATCTGGGGGAGTGGCTCAGTGCCATCGGTCTGCCGCAGTACCACAAACAACTCTCTGAAAACGGCTACGACTCCATCAGCATCGTCAGAGACCTCACATGGGAGGACCTGCAGGAGATCGGCATCACCAAGCTGGGTAAGGATCCCGCTATTCTTAACTATTCTGTACAGACCAGCAGTGTTTTTTAACTTTTGGTGTGCTGGTTTCCTCCAGGCCATCAGAAGAAGCTGATGCTGGCGGTGAAGAAGCTGTGTGACATCCAGAGGGCGATCCTCCAGGCCGAATCAGGACAGGGAACGCTGCGCCGCAAAGGCCCGGGAGCCCTCCACCTGGTGACCATCGAGCCGCCGGACTCATCGGGCGAATGCTCGTCTCCTCACACCCCGAAGATGCTGACCTTCCAGGACAGCGAGCTGAGCGCCGAGCTGCAGACCGCCATGTCCGGTCACTACGGCGGCTGCGACGAAGGCTTGGCCATCAAGAACGCCGTGGGAATGTCCCAGAGCCAGGAAAGTATCGACGCCCGCTCCAGGGGCTCCGGGCGCTCCCAGGAGCCTCCCACGGCTTCCATCAACCCCCACTGCTGGTCTCAGGAGAACCTGGAGGGCAGCCCCGCCAAGGAGAGGAACCACCCCGAGGGCTGGGATCAGCGGCCTCTGCAGCAGCAGCTGTTGCCGAAGCAGGTGCCTTTGGGAACGGCGACCGTCTTTAAGTACCCGGCGATCCCAGCCAAGCCCAAGCTGTCTGCGTCCTGTAACTCCTCCCCCCACGGCTCCCCTGCTCTGAAGGGGTTCAGCTACCTGCATTCTCATTGTGGATCCACAGATCTGAACTCGCCTCAGAAGCTCGTCGACCGCACCATGACCCTGACTCCACCAAAGAGACGCAATCAGAGCAAGATCCGCTACGCTCTGTCAGACGGCGAGCCCGATGAAGACGACGACGAGGTGACTTTCCGTTCTGGGAACCTGTCGTCGTACGCCACCTTGACGCGCAAACCCGGTCGCAGCCAGCTGGCTCGGTTGCAGTCGAGCCCGGAGAAGAACGGAAACGTGGGGCGCAGCCAGTCGTTCGCCGTGCGCGCTCGCAAAAAAGGTCCCCCTCCTCCGCCGCCGAAAAGGCTGAGCTCGGTGAGCAGCACGACCAGCGGGGAGCTGAGCGACAGCAGCACGACGTCGTCTGTGGGCGGGGTCACGGACAGCCCGGTGAGCGTTCGGAGTATTGCAGCCTCTCTAGAAGGGAGGACAGAGGGGAAGGACCCTGCTGGATCTAAACCAGACCTCGTCCAGCAGGAGACTCCGCCTCCTCCTCTGAGCTCTACCGGTCAGGAACCGAGAGAGTTTGGTGGCGTGAGGAGGCGGGTGCAGAGCGAGTGTATTCCCTCTCAGACTGGCGGCGGCGCTGAGTCAGAACGAGGGGTGAAGTCGGACACCGAGGAGGAAGAACCAAAAGGTCGCGGGCTGGACCGGTCTTCATCGCCCCACAACAGCTCCAGCGAGTGCATCCCGTTTGCCGAAGAGGGAAACTTAACCATCAAACAGAGACCCAAAGCTCCCGGGCCGCCGAGGGCCGAGGCCGTGCTGGAGCCTCCGGAGAAACAAGAACCCGCCAAGAACCTGGAAGTACCCGAGTTTAACCTGAAGGAGTCCGACACGGTGAAGCGTCGACACAAAGCGAAGGAGAAGGACCAGGCGGGAGGTTCCCCGAGTAGAGAGGCGGCGGAGGATGCCGGGTCGAGCGGCGGCGGCAGCAGGCCTCTGTCCCAGAACCAGGACGACGTCAATCTGAGGATCAGCGAGGCGCGTCTGGTGAGGCCGGCGAGTCCAGCGACAGGATCCCCGATCAGACGTCCGATCTCCCCGAAACCTCCTGCCATCGCCCCGAAACCGGTCCGCCATAGTCTCCTGGCAGCACACGGTGAGATACTGACCAAGAAAATATCTGCTCATATCAAGTGTTACATTTAAAGTCTTTATATGTTTCACACTTAAATATAAATCAAGTTTATCCTCTGAAAATAACTCTGAGTCATGACTGTCTACAATGGGTGTAACACCCGAGTCCCACTGTCTGTGATGTTTTCAGAGTTTTCAGAGTCCTATCTTCACTTTGTTTACATCGCCAGGACGGCCGGCTGACTCCTCCCCTCGTGTATAAAAGTTGTTTAATTGAGGGACTAGAGAAAAGAAGAATAACATACTGTACTCACTGCTTAACTGTGTTTCTAGATCACGCTCATTTCAGGTAAATTTACATGCAGTGTGAAGATACCAGCATAATAAAGATCGCTAGCATTAGCATGCTAACACAACAATGCAGCGCGAGTTGTTTTGGTTTCATGCTGGAGCTCAAGGGCGACATCTGCTGGATCAAAAAAATCACATATAAAGACTTTAAGTCCCGCCCACAGAAATAAATCCACAGTTAAATTCTGAATCTTTGAAAAGGGGGTAATGACTCGTACCAGCTGGACCTGAAAGACAAAGTGTACTCTAAAGGTGGACTTGACTTTAGTCCTCTAGGTCCCTGACTTGGGATCTGATCTGGGACTTCACCAGGACTTAAAATCTGACCCACAAGTTGACCTTATTGGTCTCGATTTGAGACTTGTTCATCTTGGATTAAGATTTGTGGGTCTTAGCTCTGGACTTGTTGATCTTGGATGTTGGATCTTAATGGTCTAGACTCAAGACGATATGGGGGGTAGAATTAGGACTCGGCTCGACTCTGGGACTTGTTAGAATAGCGTTGCCACTCTTTGGTCCTGAATCTGGACTTTTGGGTCTTGACTTTGGGCCTGATTTGTCAAAGTTGAGACTTAAGATTAGTGTGCTCTGGACTCACAGGTCTAGAGTGAAGACTTGTGGGTAGATTTAAGACTTCTAGACTTCACGTTGTACTTCATGGTCGTTGATTTCAGACTTGTTGGTATTTGACCTCCTGGTGTCTCCTCCCCCAGCTGGACCCTTGTCTCCTTCTGTGACCGTCAGCGGGGTTCAAACGGTGGTCTTCAGCTCCCCGTCCTCCCCGGCTCACGTCCCCAGACCGCTGTCCCCTCAGGCCCCTCAGAGTCCCTCCCTGGCAGCTGCGAGGACTCAGGTGTACATGGCTGGTCCAGGGGGCACTCCGGGGACCGAGGTGGTTCAGCAGAGACTGGATCAGACCAGCACGTCTCTGGAAGCGGCTCTGAAGGCCGTCGAGAAAAAACTGAACCGGGAGGACGACTCGGAAAGGTGAGACTGGAACGTGTGTGTTATTCAGACTGTGAATATCCTGTGGAGTGTTTTGTAATGAATCATCGCTCTTCTTCTTCTTCTTCTTCTTCTTCTTCTTCTTCTTCTTCTTCTTCTTCTTCTTCTTCTTCTTCTTCTTCTTCTTCTTCTTCTTCTTCTTCTTCTTCTTCTCCTTCTCTCCGTAGTGTTTCACACTCAGTGAAGTCTGCAGGGACCATCCTGGACGACATCGGCAACATGTTTGACGACCTGGCCGACCAGCTGGACGCCATGTTGGAGTGAAGACTTTTCATAAAATCCAAACTTCTCAAAGAAAAAAGATTCACCCGCAAACTCAGGAAGTGACACAGAGAGAGAGAGAGAGAGAGAGAAAGGAGGGCTGACGGAGAGATGGATCCTCTCCACTCTGAAGTCACCAGCTCTTAATCTCCACCCGTGCGTCTTCAGCGACCTCCTCCTCTCACGTTTATGACAGACTGATGAATCCCTGTGGACGGACGGAGGGAGGGATTCACTTCTTTTTTTAATCGCTCAAACATGAACCGAACACAGACACTAAAGTTGGACCAGCCCGCTGTGAGGCTTTTTATTTACTAACTGAAACATGAAGTTTGATCTTTTTTTTGACCTCCTGACGTTTATTCCTGTCGGGCAGCTTGTCCTCAGATTTCTGTTAGTAGCCTCTGTGAAAGGTGTTTTTACTTTAAATTCAGATGAACTTATTTATTGGGTTTCCTGCTAAAAACGTACAGAATATATTCACTTTTTACCAACAGAGAAGAGTTAAAGTTCACTCCTCAAATAGATGAACTGTTTATGAAAAGTGGAGGGTGACATCGTCCATTTTGTTCCTGGACGGCTTGTTTGTATTTAGTTTTTTAGCCATGTTGGATTTGTTTTGGAGCTGGAGAGGAGGGAGGTGGTTAGCAGCTTTGTCGAATCAAAAGAAAATATAAGTTGTAATTCTAAAACCCATAAAGCCGGGTTTATTCCACAGATGAATCTAAAAACATGTAACGCACGATTAGATTTTATAAACAGGATTTTGAACGCAGGTTTTTATTTTCCTGGAGGGGAGACAAGAATCTGGACCGTGTCTGAACATTTCAAATGTTATCTTTGTAATATTTAAAGAAAAAAAAAAAAATCTATTTTATACAAAGTGACGTTAACCTCCGTGTGTGTCGTCTTCCACGCTGCGTGTTTCTGTGTTTTTAACAAACTGTTCATGAAGCTTCAGCAGACGCGTCCGGACGCTGTTGACAGAAAGGGAAGAGCGGCACGTTCAGCTGGGGGGGGGGATGGGGATGGGGATGGGGATGGGGGGGTCTCTCTGTGTGAGATACAGACTATTTTTTGATATTCATTTTAGCCGCATTAGTATTTAAATTAGACTTATCTAAATATGTATATTGTACACTAGAGGTATATACAGGAGCAGATACTCAACCAAAGTCTATGTACAGATTCTCCTCCCATATTTTCACAATCTGTCCTCCTCCTGTTTGTTTTTAACACTTTTATTATTCTTTACTGTCCGTCGCTCGGCCTGCAGCGTGTTTAACTGGTCATATAGCATGACATGTGAGCCTGTGTGTGTGTGTGTCTCTGTGTGTCTGTGTGTGAGCGCTCTCTATATTTGAGATATTTCTGTTTTCTATCTTGTTTTCTCCCGCTGTTATCTGTTTAACCTTTGAATAACTAAGATGTTACTCTGCTCGTATGTTTTAATCTTTATTGACAGAGAATAAAGTTCATAAAGAGAAATCCTGCATACACTTTTTTTTGTCCTGACAGACAGAAATGATGCTTACTTATTACCAATACTGTATTATATTAAACTGTTCTTATATGACCTACACATAGAAGATCATATAACCAATGAGTCATATTAAAAACACAGACAAGAAGATAAGAGTTTGTTAACAATTTAAAATTTATAAAATAAATAAGTAATAAATAGTAAATAAATAATAAATAATTTTATAAAATTTAAAGTTTAAATTAAGGTCTTTAATACAGATGCAATTGCAAGAAACCGCCAGCAGAAGTCGCCATATCTCCCTGCATCAACACTTCCAGAGGGTCAGCAGGCATTTTAACAATTTCTCCTGCAACCCATCACTGGAATAAAGTGATGTAAGTCCCCTACTAAATGTATGGCTTTGTTGTGACCTATTTCTTATAAGACTTTTAAGAAAATAAATAGTGGATTAAACTTCTTAGAATCTGCTTTAAATGAGAATTTTTAGTCTCTTTTGAGGAGAACTCGCACGGTGAATAAAACCGTTTACAGTTCATGAGAACCCTCTAAATCAGGACTACACGACTTCAAGTTTACATCTCTACACCAGCCTTTGTTTATGTGAAATCATAGAAATCCCAGAAAGCTTCGCTCAAAACACACGAGTGAATGTGCAGCAACTTGAAATATAAAGCCAAGAGAAGTCCAGAGAGATGTATTGTGACATTTTATTTTAATATAAAATACATAAATAAAGCATCTGCAGGTGGCATCAGGAGCATGTGCACATATTCATAGATACACACACACACACACACACACACACACACACACACACACACACAGAGACATATGCATGAAGGACTCAGACACACGACCAAGCATTCAGTTCACCCCCACAAAACAAAGGGTCAAGAAACTAAACGATGGCAGCTGCAGCCGTTTGAGAAGAAACGCTTCCTGTTTGGATCGATGTCTGCATACTGCACGAGGAACATGATCACAAGAAGCAGGGCAGCAGGTTGAGTTCACTCTGGAGGGACGAGATCCGTTATTTAATCCACCCGTCATCCCTCCAGTGTAAAACCACAGCAACAAACTATTGATTAGCGATCAGTAGAAGCAGACGTCCACATGTTTAAAATGTGTCTAAGTCTTTGCGAAAGCTCTCCCAATAAAATGACGGATGACGAGCGACATTTTTTTAAAGTAATGCCAGACTGAAATGTCTTAAAGTAGAGATTTAAACACCGTGCGTTTCCTGTTTGCAAACTGCTTCAATTCTGGAGAGAAACTCTAAAGCGTGTTTTGTCCTCTCCGCTGCAGAAAAGCAAGAAAATAAACACTTAGTCAAGTTGAATGCAGCCTGTAACATAGACAGTATATGATATCGCCTCGCTATCTCCAAGCCTCTACTGATTGCACATTAACTTTAAAACGTAAAACAAGGCTTCGTCCCACGAGCTGTAACTTGCACCCTCTCTCGTCTGTGAAGATTTCTTTGGACGACTAAATTCATCTTTGTCGTTGACTTTCTGAGCATGAAAACGTCGGATTGTGTTTGAACAGACCTCAGATCAGTGCACAAGTTAGAGGAGGAGCTAAACACACTGTAGTCCCTGTTTGACTGAAGGAGCATGGGGCAAACACACACACACACACACACACACACACACACACACACACAGAAAACAGAAACATATTTGAATAAACCAACATTCCTCAAAAAAAAAAAACAATTATAGTGCTTTCTCCTGTTCACTCCCTCAAATATGAAAACACAAAGTGTAAAATTAAACTCTTATTTGCCTTTAAACTGCTTCCAGTGAGCTGTGCAAAATGGCCCCAAGCACGGAGGAGCGACTCCTCGGATGAAAACTACCGACCATGCAGCCAGAGCCACGGGGAAGCAGCCAATCAGATCGATATGTTTGTGGTTTTTATATAAAGCCTCTGTACACCTATTTCCTCTCTCGTCATTATTCTCTCATTTTTAAAACAGACTCGCTGCCTAAAAAAAAGCTTGTAGTAAAAAACGTTGACTTTGCAGTTTGTGGCGTCGACAGGAAACGTCCAGCAGCTTCCTGACCAGCGGGGGGGCTTCCACTCGCTCGGTGGTCAAGAGGCTGCTGAAGGAACCAGAGCTCGGGGGATAGACATCATCTTAATCTTACAGGTAGAAAAATTACATGGCAGCGTAAATATTTGATGTACGTGAGCGTTTTCTGTGCGTGACTTTGATGCGAGCGTTTTCTACGAGGGCGGGGTTTTGAAAGCCCCCCAGGCGTGGAAGCAGCGCGTGAAGCAGTGAGGCTCGTTTCCCTTCCGCACCAGTCGAAGCTTCCTGGGGTGTTCAGGGTCCTTAGAGCGCATGTGCTGGATGTAAACCTGAGGAGGAGGAAGAGGAGGAGGAAGAAGAGGAAGAGGAGGAGGAGGAAGAAGAGGAGGAGGAAGAGAAAGAGGAAGAGGAAAAGGAGGAGGAAGAAGAAGAGGAAGAGGAGGAGGAAGAAGAAGAGGAGGAGGAAGAGGAAGAGGAGGAAGAGGAAGAAGAAGAAGAGGAAGAGGAGGAAGAAGAAGAGGAAGAGGAAGAGGAGGAGGAGGAAGAAGAAGAAGAGGAAGAGGAAGAGGAGGAAGAGGAAGAGGAGGAAGAAGAGGAAGAGGAAGAGGAGGAGGAAGAAGAAGAAGAGGACGAGGAAGAGGAGGAAGAGGAGGAGGAAGAGCAGGTTAGCACATATTAGCATCACACAACAGTTAGTTCCAACCAAGCAACCTGATTGGACAAGAGACTTTCCACATCCTGTATCCCTCCGCCTCAGTCAGCAGCTCTGAATACTTTACAGCTGAAACCTCAGAATCACAATGATTCAGTTACCTCACTGCAGAGAAGCTGCTCTGTGGTTACCATGGACACCAACAGTAGAATGAAATGTTCGGGTTGCTTAGCAACGGTCTAGTTTCAGTTAAAAAAACAACCTTTCACCTTTTTAATCACTATTATCAGCTTTTAGAAGTTGTTTTCTAAAAGTTATTTCACACTGAAGCCACAAAAAGAGTTTCTGCTCACCTGGCAGGCTTTGAGACTGAGCTTGATCTCCACCTGGCTCGTCTGAGTACCGACCCACATGTACACCTGAGGCACAGTCACAAGGAAAGAGGATTAAAGTCAACGCCTCGGTTAAAGAGGAAGTGATGAAACCTAACCGCTCTCGAACACATCTGATTGGTCGTCACCTCTTTGCCGTTGTCCAGCAACATGATGTCATCATCGGCCAAGTCGTCCTGACAGAAGTCTGAGCACTTCTCCGACACGGAGAAATAACCCTTCTCATTAGAACACCTGAGAGACGCAGAAGAGGAGGAAGAGGAGGAAGAGGAGGAAGAGGAGGAAGAGGAGGAAGAGAGATGGAAGATGAGAGCCAATAGGATTCAGTATTTATTTTTTAATGAACACAAACTATATTGACTAAATGATCCTTTTTCATCAACACGTCTTGTTCCCTCACCTGAAGAGTCGAGCGTGTTTCATGTAATCAGCATCTTCATCGTACTCCTTCTGAGAACCAATCCCGACCCAGAAGAAGTTCTCTGGCTCCTCCCCCTCGTTGATCACCTACAGGACAAATGATTTGT